CTGCATGCTCACTCTTTTTTTTTTTTTTGAGAAGTTTTCGCTATAGGGCGCGTGCACTCGCCAGACAGACAGAGACATAGAGACAGAAAGCGAGAAATCACCACCCCAGGGTGGATGGTCACACCACAATCCCTTCTCCTCCATTCTCCTCTCGGGATCTTGGGCACGCACGCACACGCGCCTGGTGTGAGTTTTAAGCCACTGGGTCCGGGACGGTCGACTATGTGGGAGTCCAGCGACATAGCCATTACGCTAACTGCTGGTTCCCTGCATGCTCACTCTTGACAAAAAATATCCTCTCTTGTCATGATCACTTGTAGCTGGACCCTCAGATGCACCAGGGATGAGAAAGTATCTTCATTTCTCCTAGGGGTGTTATTCTTCCATCATTCTGTTCAAAACATTCTCTCACATCCTTGGGTTCTTCTCTTTACTGTGATTTCTAAAAGACAAATTATAGTTAGACATAATTATAAGATAATGTCCTCAGTGAAATAAAACCCTCTTTTTCTTTAGGATGAATTCTGTATCATTTCAGTCTAAAAAATTGTCAGAACAAGAGACAGATTCAGGAATGGAAATGACTTAAAGGATTGCCTATGGACTCCTTACAAAAACATGCTACTGTTTACAACCTGGTTCCATGATTATGATGTAATACTCAGTAGATCTCAATAAAGTGGAATACCATTCAAATCAATTCACTGACTGAAGTACACAGTATGTCCAGTGGTTCATGAGTTCAATTACTTCACATACTAATAAGAAATAAAAATTGCATATCATTTGACATTGACTCAGAGTCGAGTGATATGTAATTGAGGTCCTAAGGAACTGAAAAAATATTATTATAATGCACATCGCATTATACAACTGTTTGTCCCACTATTTATCCCTAAGCTGGTTCTAGAATTCAATTACTATTGTTCTTAAACCATCAATTAACAAACCCAATAGGTAAGCTGATTAACCATGTTTACCCTACTTGCTCTCTAAGTTTTCCATTCAGGTCCAAGTTCCATTCTATTCTCTCATTAAAGATTCAATATAGGCCATTGTATTATAGAATCATGATAATGTGCTTTGGATTCTTGTTCTGTACTTAGTGTACTGTTTCCCTTTGAGCAAACTGTTCAAATTTGCTGTTAGTTTCACTTTCTGTAAAATGGGAATAACAATTGCCTTTTATTTATTTATTTTTTTTGGTGATGATTTAAAGAAGTCATTCATTCACAGAGAGCACCTGGAGCATTGCCTGTCACACAGAAAGGATGCAGTAAGTGTTCTTGGTTGTAGTGGGAGCAGCAGTGATCATACTGACCCTAAATGGTATTTATTTACACTACTGTTATATTTTTCTTATTTATTTATTCCACCTATTCTCTGAATTCTAAGCCCTTGTGAAATATTTTCAGTGCCAATGGGAACCTAAATTGATGACAGATTATCCATTTAAGTGTGGGTATTCTCCTTCTCCCTCCAATATCCCTACATTTCTGCCTTCCATTAATATGGCTAATTGGGAAGTGGCTGTGTTCCTGGCCTCTTGTTTGCTTGCCCAATAGGTGTTGCTAATGGGAAACACTAGACATTAAGATGAGATGACACTAAATACCAATTGTATATGACGCTGTCCGACAAAAAAATTATTTTCTTGTCCATTTGTCATCGTCAGTTTATTTTGCTTTCTGACCAACCCAACCCAACCCAGACTAAGGAAAATAAGTTGGTGTGCAGTATAGTGTTCAGTGTTTATCTTTCCTCCCCTTCTACGAATAGAACTCATTAAACTCATGAGGTAAGTTTACCTGTTTTTGACATGAGTTACTTATTCATAATAGTCATCTTAGGAAAAGAAATTATTTCTCCTGCTGCATCTATAGCATGTTCACAGTGTCACATCCAAGGCAACTTGACATAGTCTCAGGGGGATGCCAGGAAGTTTCTGAGGAGAGTCTTCTCAGAGGCAGGGGATTGTTTGAAAGCACCACATGCCCCAATTTTGAGACGATTGCCCCAGTTTTCACATGCCATCTCCCCTGTGTTTCTGAGAGCAGATCTAATGTTCTCTTCCTCCAGGTCCCTGTTGATTGACTGAACTGTGATAGAGCTGCTTGAAGTAACAAGGGAATGGGGTAGAATTGGAGTCATCTAAATCAAAAACATGTTGGATGAGACTCAGAATCCAATAATAGACATTCTAAGAGGCCTCCCTGAGGGCTGTCAGGTTTTCAGCAGAATATTACTTGGTTACTTAACCTACTCTATGATATTCACTTAAAGATTTAAAATCAAAAAGCTTTGCTTAATTTTGCTAAATAAGACACCTAGAAAATGAAATCTCTCTTACTTTCAATAGGTATGCTGAGGAGAAGGCATTCTCCGGTATCAGTGTTCTTTTCACACTGGGAGAAAGTGCTGTATCATGAATATCTATGTCTAGTCTGTTTATTAAAGCATCTACAAAAGCTTTTAATGCACGTGCTCTTCCTGTCAGATTTTTTAATTGATGGACAGAAGAAATGGGTTTTCTTTACTTTGCTTTAATTTTCTCTAATATTTTAATGCAACATTTTGGGTTTAAGAAACCCAAACAAAGGAAACGATATTGGGGCTGGCAGGTGGCATTGTGGTTGGGGCACTGGAGTCCCCCATGGTCAACTGTGGTTCAAATCTTGGACATGGTGGCTTGCTTTCTAACTTTCCCTTTCACTCTGTCTCTCTCTGGTCAAATTAAAAAATGATAATACCAAACACAATTAAATAAATAAATAATTCTTTTTAAAAATAGACACAGATATTTAAAGTGTTTCGCTTAAAGTTATATTTGTTTCCAAATAGCTTAAGACAGAGCTCAATTCAAAACAGTATTAAAATTTCTCTGGTTCATCTTCTGTAAACATGTCTTGCTTCTGCTGTGGCACACCAAAGGGGAAAAAAAATGTTAGATGTGAAATTTATAAAAAATGACACACACACACAGAAGAAAGGCAATGCTTCTACTAAATAATGTATTATTATAAGAGAAACAAGTGATTGAGTAATGCTACTCTAATGACTTCTCTCCAACAGCTAGAACACCCATTCTAGCATTGTTTTTGTTCAGGTTTGTTTTCTTTGCTTAGCAGAATTACTTACTGTAAGAACAATCTATATGAAGTCATTTACCAAGGTGACTAAATTACCTTCCGTTAGGGTGTCAAACTGCCCCAAATTGGACAATCATGAAAGAATCAGAATGCTGCATCTGGATGTTGGAATGGCCACACATTGGTAAACACTGCTCACTAGCCACAACTTAACTCTAAGACCTCCTAACCTGGGCCCAAACTGTCTTTGAGAAATGCTCACCGAAGTCCCTAAGGCCATTTTATAAGTTGACCTTCAAAAATTTAAAGTGTAAACAACCTGGGCTGGAATGAATCAATATGTGTAAGGGATCATTAGGCAGCTCCTCCCTTTCCCTAGATTTCAATGCCTATCACAAAGATGAAGGTTATGGTCATTCCTCCAGCTCTGCACTATCGGTTAACCTATGCTAAATAGCATTGTTTCTGGATCCCCATTTATTTTTAGCAATTAGGAACAAATCTGTCTTCCCCATACAAGATAGGGACATAAATATAAGTGAAAATTTAGAAAGGCATGATGATCAATATTAACCACAAATTCTGATATTATTTGGTTAAAAATCATTATTAATAAGTATATCAGGGCCCGCCCAGGTGGCTCAGTCTGTAGTATTCGGTAGTACTGGAAGTCACCTGGTGGACCATGGGCTCATATCTCTGTGCCAGCAAATAAACGTATAGAACACAGACACATACACTAAGATCCTATAGAGCTGGAGGTCTGGGTAAAGGGGACTGTGGTATGACCAGACCCTGGCAAGGATGATTTCCCTCTTTTACTCTTTTTCTTTTGTACACACACACATACTTTATTTAAAAATAATACAAATAATAGGTATATAAGAACAGGTTTATACTAGCAGATTTTTTATGCCACAATCTTGACATCTTGACATATATACATATTCACTTGCCATAAACTAACATGTATGCCATCTTGATACAACATACTTCTTCTTCTTCTTCTTTTTTTTTTTTTTCAGTTTTGCCAGTGGGCACATGTGCTCTCTGGAGAGAGACTTGGGTTGGGGAAGGTAAGAAAGCACCCCTATAGGGAACAATCACACTGTAATCACTTCTTCTCCATTTCTCCATCTTCTCAAGATTTGAGGCACTCGTGCACACACCCAGTGTGTTCTGTAAGCTGCCAAATTCAGGGCTTTGAACTACATAGCCAGCTACATGGGATTTAGCCACCTTAACCATCAGACCACCAGTTGGCCTGATACCACATATTCTTGACGCACTGACATTTCTTATTCTAGGAAAGGCCATTTCATGCTGTTCTCCATTATAATACCCAAAATTCTATTTCTGAATGGGATTTAAAAGGGTTTACTAAGTAGAGGGAAGGGGCCATTTAACGGCACAGCACTAACGCACTAATGTTACTGGACTCACATGGGAAACACCCTGGCATTGCATTCTGGGATCTCCCTGAACACTCTGGGTGCAAGTGTGTGTGCCTAGGATCCAGGCCTGATGAGACTGGGCATAGATTGCAGCAAGAGATCTCCATGGGGGGAGGGGGGCCTTCCCTTTCTATCTCTCTCTTTCTCATTAAATTAATTAATTAATTAATTAACTTAAAATAGGGAAGAAAATAACATCCATTTCCACTTTTCTATGTCTTCCAAGCTAAGACACAGCGATGATTGCACATTCCTGCCTAAAGGATATAAGCTTTAAGTTTAGGGCAATGGAAATCAGCTGTAAAAAGGTATCCAATGTTATTCTTGAATCTCAGTTTCTTTACAAAAACTACTTGGCATGGTTTGACTTACATTTAGTAGGCAAAATTTAGACACTATCTTGAGCCAAAAGTATATACAAATAGTATGTGAGTTGACACTTGTGGGATGTACTCGGTGAGTAATTATAATCTGCCTGGTCTTCCCACCAGTACCACCACAGCCATCAAGACATCAGACACTGAAGTCTTAGCCTTAGCCATGACAGTATCTTCTGAAACATCATTTCTGATGTTTTTGTTTTTTTGGGGTTTTTTTTGAGAGGTTTCGCTATAGGGCACGTGCGCTCGCCAGACAGACAGAGAGACAGAGAGACAGAAAGCGAGAAATCACCCCACAGGGGGGATGGTCACGCCACAATCCCTTCTCCTCCATTCTCCTCTCGGGATCTTGGGCACGCACGCACACGTGCCCGGCGTGAGTTTTAAGCCACCGGGTCCGGGATGCGAACTGCGGTCGACTATGTGGGAGTCCAACGACATAGCCATTACGCTAATTAAAGTGTCCATTTGGAGGTAAGACCTGGATTGTGTGTGTCTTGCGGTTTGTCTTAGGAAAAA